CCTCCCCGGTCCTAACGGGCCCGCTCCCTTCCCCCGCCCCCGCCCGGGACCTCGCCGGGCCTCGGGGCTGCGTTTCCGGGACTCTGGCAGGTGCGCCTCCCGCAGCCCGGCCGCCGCCCACCTTGTCCCGCAGGTCCTCCATGGTCTTGAAGTAGGGGCTGTAGTCGCGGGAGGGCCCGGGGCCCTGCTTCTGGTACCAGTCTCGAATCTTCACCTCCAGGTCGCCGTTGGCCTCCTCCAGGGCGCGCACCTTGTCCAGGTAGGAGGCCAGGCGGTCGTTGAGGTTCTGCATGGTCAGCTTCTCGTTACCCGCCAGCAGTCCGTCGGACCCGGCCAGGACGCTGGTGTAGCCGCCGCCGAAGCCCCCGGAGGAGGACGAGGACACGAAGCGCGCGGAGGACACCGACACGCCGCGGCCGCCCGAGCCCCCGTGGATGCTGGGCGCGCGGAAGGCGCCCCCCGGCCCGAAGCGCACGGAGCCGCCGCCCATGCCCCCGAAGGACGAGGTGGCCGACGACTGGCGATAGCTGTAGGAAGTCATGGCGAGACGGACGGGACGGAGCGACGCCGGCCAAGAGCTGCGATGGCAGGAGGGAGTGGCGAGGCCCTCACCTGGCGCCTTTTATGCCCGAGGCCGGAGGGGGGCGGGGGAAACGTGGCGGCTGGATATCTGAGCCCCGAGGAATTTGCAGGCTGGTGAGTGCTCCTGTGGGCACTTTCCCTATTGGTCAATTCCCAGAGGCTCTGCCCTCTCCTCTGCCTTCCCAGAGACCAGAGGCCCCTGCCCTCCGGGGCTGTCCCGCCCCAGCCCCCTCACCCGCCCACACTGCCCTGTTCTGCTGTTCTGACGCTCCTCCCGGGTCTTCACCCCCTCCTGCACCCACCCAGACACCCTTGTCCCTGAGGGGCCTATTTTGCCCCTCGGTCCCCCAGAGTTTGATACCCCCAGGAATTACAGTCCCTCTGGGATCATACCCACCCAGCCTCAGAGCGCCCCTCTGGAATCAGGTTATGAGCCCTTCTTTGTGAACATAACAAACACCCGGCCCCCTCCCCGATACATTTGCCCCATTCTACACTCCACTGGAGATTACAACTGCTCAGAACCCTTGGGGGGTTGCCCACACCTTAACCCCCTCCCAGCCCCCTTCGACAAAGGCACCGCTTCCGGATGAGGGTGCTCTGAACTGCACCCTGGTCTTGAGACAAAGCCGCCCCACCCTGTGGTGGCCATACAATGCCCCCAGGTGACAATAGACTCCAGGTACAGCTGCAGAGAGCAGTTCTGGCTGGATCTTCCCAGCCCAAGCTCAAGCCTGACCCCTACTCTCCAAGCCCACCTCCTACAGGATAATCTCAGACCTTTCAGCCCCCCAAGCAAGCATTCATTCAACAACTCCCTTATTGGGCTACATTCATGTTCCCATGATGAGGAAGCTGGGCCTAGGGGAGGCAAGTAACTTGCCCATGAGGCATTTAGCATCTGCCACCCAGAGGCAAAACTAAGATGGCCTCTTGTCATTCCACCCTCCTTGTCAGAGGGCCACTGAACAGATGCCTATGAGATTCCTCCCCGCCCATGCCTGCAGTGAAGGGTTTTGACAAGAGGCAGGACCCTCCCCCCAACACACACACACACACACACACACACACACACACACCAGGCCCCCTGCCAGATACAGCTACAACAACCTCACTCCAGTTCCTGACCCCAGTGACCTCACCTCTCCCCAGAATTCCTTCTTGTCCCTATGGTAGAGCAGTCACCCAGGCTCAGAACAGAGGTTGTCCTGAGAGGGTGGCAGGGCGACGGGCCAGTCATTCCCCATCTCCCCATGAAATGAGGGGTGCCCCAGCTCAGCCCTCCTCTCTGCATATTATCCCCTGGGTTACCCGTGACTAATGGAGAATGTGTCCCCAGCCTCTGAAATCTAAGTCCCAGCTAACTGTCTTCTAGCCACTAGCTCATCCTGGAACTGGGGGCAGGAAACCCCACATACATCTCGAATCCAGGAGTAGCCCTTAGCCACTCAGGAAGGCCAGCCTGAGGTTGTTTAAACTGGTGAATCGTTGCAGGAAGACTGAAGGTCTTTGGGGAGCCCAAAGGGAATGGGGGGGGCCGAGGCTGTTCATAAAAGCAGGGTGTGACTGGGGCTTCACAAAGTTGTAGCTGCCAGGACTGGTCTGCTGTGAGTCACTCCCTTATCTGGCCAGAAAGGAGGCCTGCTCCTTGAGCGGGGCAAGGGGAGATTGCACAGATAGTTGCCATGCACACCAAGACCCAGCAGATAGCTCTGTGTTTCTGGTCTGATGGGAGGGTCTGGGGAGGGACTTTGTATTCTGGAACAAAGAGTAGGACCAGCAGGTCTGCACCTTAAGTCTAAGGTGTTCTGAGCTCCCTAAACTTCAGAGGAGCTTAGAGTTCCGGCCACCACTGCAAGACTATAACACAGGGATGCTTGAGGCAGAACCATTTACAAAGCCTCCTCAGATCTCACAGGATCCTCAGCTGCCAGGTGGAAAGGGTATTGTAATCCTCACTGCACAGATACGGAAACAGGCCCTGTGAGAGGCAGTGACTTGCTGGAGGGCCACAGCCAGGAGTAATACTTTCTGGCTTCCAGCCTTTGACCTATGGCCGGGGTTCCTCAGAGCTACAGAGTCTCTGCTCTCTTCCAAGAAGGTGTCAGTCCCAAAACATCTTTGGGTCTCTTCCCTAAAATCTTCTTTTTAATCTTTTTCTTTCCTTTTTTTTTTTTGAGGCAGTATCTCCCTTTGTCACCCAGATCAAAGTGCAGTGGTGTAGTCATAGCTCACTGCAACCTCAAACTCCTGGGCTCAAACAATCCTCCCGCCTCAGCCTCCAAGTAGCTGAAACTACAGGCATACACCACCATGCCTGGATAAATTTTTTTATTTGTCTGTTTTAATTTGTAGAGGTGAGTTCTCACTATGTTGCCCAGGCTGATTTCGAACTCCTGGCCTCAAGTGATCCTCCCACAAGAGAATTGCCTGAGTCCAGGGGTTCAAGACCAGCCTGGGCAACTTGGCAAGACCTCTTCTCTACAATAAATTAAAAAAATTAGTCAGGTGTGGTGGTGTTCGCCTATGGTTCCAGCTACTTGGAAGGCTGAGGCAGAAAGGATCACCTGGCCAGGCCCAGTGGCTCAAGCCTGTAATCCCAGCACTTTGGGAGACCAAGGTGAGAGGATTGCCTGAGTCCAGGGGTTCAAGATCAGTTTGGGCAACTTGGTGAGACCTTGACTGTACAATTTAAAAAAAAATTAGCTGGGCATGGTGGCATGTGCCTATAGTTCCAGCTCCTTGGAAGGCTAAGGCGAAAGGATTACCTGAGCCCACCAGGTTGAGGCTGCAGTGGCTGTGAGCATGCCACTGCACTCCAGTCTGGGCAACAGAGTGAGACTCCGACTCAAAAAAAAAGAAAAAAGGATTACCTGAGCACTGCAGATTGAGGCAGTGGTCATAAGCATGCCACTACACTACAGCCTGGGTGACAGAGTGTTAAGCCACAGTCCCAGCCCTCCACTCACAGGAAAGAGGTCAAGGTGTCTTTCTCCACTGGCCTGAGGTAAGTCATCACGTTGGAGAAGGCATAGTGTCCCCTGCCGAGGTTCCAACTTATCCTTCCTGTGCTGACACATATTTGGTCAGTCAGTGGCCCATTTGAGCAGGAGGGCCGGTCTCCTCAGAGTTGAGCCCAGCATAGGAGACAGACTCATCCTCCGTTCCTAAGCTGAGGAGAGGAAGGTCAAAGTGTGAAAAACTCCATGGGCATGCCTGCCATGTCAGTGACCCCTCACTGGACACCATCCCTTCCCAGGGACCATCAGGCCGAGGACTTCCCCCGCCCCTTCTCCTTTCAGTGGACAGGCATCAAGCCTCTTTTAACCAGGGGGTCACCTGGGACCAGGACACAGAAGTCAATGCAAGCTTTTCCTGCCTCTAAGCAGCTGATGGTCTGGTAGGGGGATTATGGGGACATATTGGTTTGGAGTTTTTCTGCATTAGTGTAGTTTAATTCTTTTATTCAAGATAATACTGGAGTTATTCTTTATTGCATTCATCATTTTAAAGGGTTCTGGAGTGCCAAGCAAATGCATACACATTTTAAGCGATGCTATCTATGTATTATTTTTAGTTCATCATAATCAGAAAGGTCTGGACTCTGATGGTAACCACTTTGAGCACCTCTTGTCATTGCAGAAGTCCAACGTGGCTTGTGTTCATCTTTGGTTATTGTCATATACTGAGTGTTACTATTTTAATACAGTTTTTTTCTTAAAATGTGTATACACTTTTTGGCATCCTCTGTGTACGCCTGCATAGATTCCTTACTGAGAATAGTGCACCTCATATTGGAAAGTCATATTTTCTCTTTATTAATCTTTTCAGAGACATAATAGCTTTGATGAAATGCAGTAGATTGAATATCCACATCAATTTTCACTGCTTCTTAAAACCCTAAGACGGAATCTCTTAAGAGAATAGAACAAGGAGCAACCAGCTGAGAGATGTCAACAAAAACTCTGAAGCTGGAAAATGTTAACATAGCAGAGGAGGGAAAGCGAGTCCGGCACTGGGGGTGGGGCCAGAAGGGGCGGAGGGAAGGGCAGAGAGCCATGAGAAGTAAGTGCGTTCTCAGCACACCTAGAGAAGCTCAGGTATAGGGCACCGGGTGCCTTGAGAGAAGAAGGGGGAGAGTGGATTGTGAGCAAGGCTGCCGGAAGTTTCCACAAACAGCACCACTCCCAGATTTGCTACCCAACCAAGGTGGCCAGAGACCGCCTCTCCCCCACCCAGGAGAAGATGGGGTATTTAACTTTTTCCCTGTTAGACTGGCCACATCACAAAGCTTGATAATGTCAAGTGTAAGGGAAGCTGGGGCAAATGAACTCCCCAAAACACGTTGGTGGGAGGTGAGTTGTAGCAGCTGCTTTGCAGCTAGGGGTAGGGGGTGCAATGTCGCCATTAAAAAAAAAATTCACAACTGGGCACCATGGCTCACCCCTGTAATCCCAGCTTTTTGGGAGCCTGAGGAGGGAGAATTGCTTGAGCTCAGGATTTCGAGATCAGCCTGGGCAACATGGTGAGACACCATCTCTACAGAAAATTTAAAAATTAGTCGTGCATGGTGTCATGCACCTGTGGTCTCAGCTACTTGGGAAGCTGAGGCGAGAGGATCATTTGAGGCAGGGCATTAGAGGCTGCGGTTGAGCTATGATCACACCACTGCACTCCAGCCTAGGCAACAGAATGAGTCCCTGTTTCTAAATATATATATTTTTTAAAAATACGTACCCAGTTGGGCTCAGTGGCTCAGCCTGTAATTCTGCACTTTAGGAGGCTGACGTGAGTGGATTGCCTGAGCTCACTGGTTTGAGACCCGCCTGGGCAACTTGGTGAGACCTCATCTCTACAATAAATCAAAAAGTTAGCCATGCATGGTAGCGCGTGCCTGTAGTTCCAGCTACTTGGAAGGCTGAGGCGGAAGGATCGCCGGAGCCCAGCAGGTAGAGGCTGCCTGCCCAGCAGGTAAAGGCCACTGCTCTCCAGTCTGGGCGACAGAGTGAGACTCCAACTCAAAAAAAAAAAAAAAAATTACACACCCTATAAACCATCAGTCCCAATCTCCATATTCACTCCAGAGAAACTATAGCCCGGGTATTCA